CACCGTAGCCCTTTCTGAAACCCTACACCCTCAGCCCGTCCTCCCCCGAGTAGGGCCTCCCTGGTCTTCAAGGAGGCATCCTGGTTGGAGCGTTTCAGACGGCTTGGGGTTTGAGGGTTTAGGGTTTAGGGGTTTAGGGTTTATGGCTTGGGTTTCAGGTTTAGGGTTTAGGGTTTGGAGTTTCAGGTTTAGGGTTTTGGGTTCAGGGTGCAGGGTTTAGGGTTGAGGGTGTGGGGTTTAGGGTTCAGGGCTTGAGGGATCGCTTCTGGCTGAACTAAGAAAATGGGCTCGGTTGGATGTGTTTTGGCTCTTGGGCTTTACGAGTTGCCGCTTCCCGTCGGTTGCTGCTTTTGTTCAGCACCTTCAAAGGCCTGCCGAAGCAGCAAAAGGGTCTCTAGGATTCTGATTTAGGCTTGAGCTGTCGGGTTTGGGATCTACGAGTTAATCGGTTTAGGGTTTAGGGTTTAGGGGTTTAATGAACTTAATGCTGTGGGATGTTCTTGGAACTCGAGGACTCCAGGTTAAAGTCCTTGCATCTGGGATGTGAACCGCAGGTTTTTGGATTGCAGCTAGGCTGTGGGACAGAACATCGCTGAATACTTGGAATAGCGATTGCGGATGTAGTACAGAATGGTGGAAATAAGGAGCCCTACCCTACTGTTGAGACCCCATGCGAGGTTGTTTCTGCCGGGAACCTGGCTCAGCGGCTCGTGGCTTGGAATGCGAGCTACGTCATGTGGGGGGGGGGCAACAATACATCCTAATATAGCGACCACCATCACCACCACCACTAGCAACCTTGCCAGCACCACCACCACCACCACCACCACCAGCACCACCGCGACCGCCACCACCGGCACCATCGTCACCAAAACCGTCACGACGACCATCGTCACCGGCATCGTCGCCCTAAACCCTAAGCCGTAAACCTCTCGATCCTACAGCCCAAGATCTCAGCCGCCGACGAAGTCGGCACCAAGGAGGCAATCGCCGCAGAGCTCCGTCTGCACCCCGATCTTCAGGAACCTCAGAGCTCGGGGCCTAGCTCCACGCAGAGCCCCTTGCCTCTTGCGGTCGTCTAAGAAACCCGAACCCCAGAGCCCGAACGACTGAATCCCTAATCCCTTTAGCTCTAAACCCTAAGCCCTAACCCCTAAACCCAACACCCTTAAAGCCCCAAACCCTAGACCGCATCTCGCAGCATGCATGGGAGTTCGGCGTTCGAGGGTGTCGCCTGGGGCTGAGGGTGATATAAGGACCTTCACAATCAGACTGGGCTTTGAAATAGAATACAGTCAAATTGAAACGAAAAACCCTAGTGAGCCCTAATGATAGGTTCTGAGCTAGAAGACAACATAATTAAACTAAAGTATTGGCAGGAACTCAGGCTTCTATATCATGGTTAAATATACACTGCCTCAGGGGCTTCAATGGACTTTCTGTGAGTGAAAAGCTCTAGGGGCTTTGGGTTCAGGGTTCTGGGTTCCACACTCCTAAGGCACAGCTGACGACTGTGCAGCAAAAAAGGCTGCTACTGCACGCGAAACCCTAAACTCTAAACCCCGTTAAACTCTAAGTTCTAAGCCCGACAAGTGCTCCTGCGACTGCCGCTGCGACGACGACTACTTCTGCTTCTACTACCCCTGCTACAACTATGCTGCGTCCCCCATGCTACTTAGAGGGTTAGGGGACTTAGTAAGTAGGGTTTTACGTAGGGTGGCTAGAGCAATAGCTACTTGTAAGCCTAGTTCAGGTACTTGTAGCCCAACTTCCTACGTCCCATGATGCGCCAAGTACCTGTATCACTATGTACGTTGAGCTCACGGTCTTTTTGCTTCGCGAGGGAGGCCGCCGACAGCAGCAGCGTCGTTCCTTCTATCAAGCTCAACAGCCTGATCATGACACTATGTAGGAGTGCCACCTCAATGAAAGCTCTACTGGACATCCAGTCAGAATGAACATAACGCATGTCTGCAATGCATAAGACTAGGCTTCTTTTCCGTGCCTCGAACTGGCTTCATGCATGCTTGAGCCACCGATGGTGGCGATGATGAACATGTGCCCTGAGGCTCCACGACACACACAACAGGCACAGCATGATCTGTTCTTCAATTCACACCCCCGCTGTGTTGTGGATGCCTCGAAGGGTTCAAAAGCAGAAGACTGCATACTCCTTCGTAACGCAATCTGAGCGAATATGTTTTAAACAATTCACTGCGAGCACTGCAAACCCTGGGCCAAAACCAAAACGTGTTACAGAAGAGCCTAAACGTCTATTGACGACTCCAGCTCTTTGTTTGCCGGTTCCACAGGCCGTAAACGCCGTACTTCATGTTGCTCCTTCCGTCCAGAAACTTCACAGTACGTGATTCGAATGAGTGAGTCTTCGAGTACCGTGCGAATTGCATCAACTTGTGCACCAGAGGAACTAAGCTTCGTCAGTCCGTCTGCTAACATATGGGACCCATTCACCCAGAAAGTCTGAAACCCATAGTCAACTACTAGGTCGTAGAGAATCTGGTGCACAAGGGACTGCATCTTCACTCCTTGCCTTGTGGACGGTTTCTCGGTCTGAATGGAATCGTACAAGCCATTATTATCGGTAACAAGAGCCCGCACCGCGCTACCCTTGGTGAGCTTCTCCTTGACTTGTCTTGCTTTCAGACCGTAAAACACTTGCTCGTAAAGCAACATCAGATTGATGGAAGCATCAGTCGAGATAGTCGCAGCTTGCAACTCTGACGCATAGCTTGACCACACCGCCCTGTCTATCTTGCAACTCGAGTAGTCAGCTAAAACAGCTCGAACCTCCTGACCGGCCAAAACTTCCTTAGGAGCCCAAAACGTAACTGTACCGGACTGAGAATGGCCAGAGGGCCGCGACGTGTGGCCTGCGTCAGAAAACACTACGAGAGTAAGGTCCTCCCAACTTTCTGCTACTTTAGCAAATGTGATGCTGTAGTCACGTGCTTGAAGGGTTCTGACTATCTTATTCAAGGAAACAAGGTGCTGTTTTTCGGGACGAGAACCATACGAAGCAAAGTGTGAGACGTCGTAGGCTACATCTGGACGTGTGTTAACTGCAACCCACAACAACGCACCAAGCTGAGACCAGAACTGTGTCTGACCCTGCCTGTCTAGGAGACCTTCGGACAACTTACGAGTAGGAAGTATCTTCAACTTGGCTACATAGTGCGCTTGATCAATGGTGATGACACGTGTTTGCGGATGCTGTTTAACATTCAGACCTGTGTAGAGGACAGGCGCCATGTCTGCATACTTACGTTCTCCAAACGGAAGTCGCGCTACCAGCTTAGACATTGCCTCCTCAAACCTGCGGTCAACACTGGACGAACACCCAGCAACCAACAGGTCATCAACATGCGCACCTATAATACCAAGTATCTGACCCTCACGACGAAACACAAACACACAACGGTCTGCTGGAACCTGTTCGAAACCACAGGCTTCTAACTCTGCAGTTAGACGTCGGTACCAAGCTAAAGGAGCCTCACTTAAACCGTAGGGTACCTTCTTAATCCTTGCAATGATATCGGCTCCTAAGCCCAGCTCCTCAACAAGATCCTTGGGCAGTTCGGTGTATATGGGTTTCGTTCTGGAGGTTTGGTCGCCAGCTAAGAAAGCAGTCTTAGCATCTAGAGTAAACACCTGATATTGGTAATGACTGGCTAGCGTGAAAATTGCAGGGCGACCTTGCCGTGACAACGTGGGACTAGCCGTACTAAACTGACCTAAATCGGGATCCCTGAAGCCTCTGATGACTAATCGTGCCTTTGCCTTGGCTCCCCCAGGACCCTGATACACTTCCCCTGGTACTGATTTCCAAGTCAGCACCCACCGTGAAGCGATAACCCTCCTAGGATCTACACCATGCCTACTTATCAACTCGACGACCTCGTTACCTACCCATTGCGACCATTCCGCAGCCTTGGCTGCTCTGAACATGGCCTTCTCCTGAGCCGTGACGTGGCGTTCAGAAACTTCCACCGCCCGCTTGCGAGCCATGGACGCATTAAGTGCCATCTCACGGACCAGATAACAGACCGACATTTCATCTTGAATTTCATCTAGCCATACGTCAAACTCCAATCCTAAAGAGGTCCCCTCGTAATCATGCTCTTGAGACTCAGAAAACCATGCCTCCAAGGAGTGATCTGAAGGCATGCCGTCAAAGTCAGAGAACGACAAAAAGCTCCCCTGTCGAGGTGGTGGTGACCTACTGCGTGGTCTTGGCAGCGACTCCAAGCCAGTACGAACAGTAGGTGGGACTGTAGCCTCAAGCGGTGGAGTCACCTCAGCAGTTGGAGACGGACCGTGCACAGACCTGTCCCTGGACATGTCTTCGACGGCTCGATGAAACTCAGATACACGCTTAGTGCCCCTATCCCCCGCCAGCGAATCCCCCCCGCTTGGTTCACCACCTGGTGGTGTTGCGAACTCCTCTGGTGCTGCCAAGTCTGGCACTGCCGCGCTAGAAGTATCAGGAACGTGAACGGGCTCTGGCGGTTGTTCGGCTGAACGTACAGTTCCTAAACGTGGTGTAGCTGGCACTGGCGTGCCTGGTACGGGAGTGCCAGGGGCAGTAGGAGGGGCCTGAGGATAGGGATCATACTCAGCCTCGCCTTTAAGGTCATCTAAAACTACTGCTGACTCAGGTTGCTCATGTTCCAACTCCAATTCCGCTGAGCTGGGTCTCTCATTTCTCACATCGATACCCCGAACCATACGCATCTCACTAAAACTACGTTGTTTGGCTAAACCTTCCTCTTGAAGCTTCTGCATGACCCATTCCGCCTTCACACTGACGGGGCGTAATTGGTCAGGACTACACAAGAAGAGCCGCCCATGCACAGTGACGTAGATTACCCTAGGAACCAAACGATCATTCGTACTTTCTACAGCAATGACTTCGCCCGGTCCCAACCAAACTCCGTGCCGGCCTGGATTGGCCGCATCTCCCCTTTTACGACGATACACTAAAACCACTTGACCTGGGTAGTAAGGCCCCTTGTAAGGCCTAGACCTAGTCGTCATAATTCGGGAGGTGCGATCTCTGACCTCGGATTGTACCCACGCCGTGCGAGCGGCCACTCGCCTGAGCATCATAACTTCGTACAATGGATCACTACCTTGCAACCGCTCGGCTAAAAGTCGGAAATCTTCATCTCCTTCAGCGAACGTGGGCGGTGCTTTCGGAAGCTTTCCAAACACGAGCACTGCCGGCGACACGCCTTCAACTCGCATCAACTCGTTTCTGGCCTGTACTACCTCTACTGCGGCTTCGTACGCGCTACAACTTGGCTCACTTTCAAAAACCCTTTGAGCCTGTTGCCGGATCGTGCGGTGTAGACGCTCGATTTGACCGTGCTGAAACGGGGCTTGGGCTGCCGACAGTCTCTCAACAATGGCGTGCCTGGTAAGGAATGCAGCAAAAGTCTCAGAACGGAAAATGGTATCAGGATCTGCATAGATGTACTCGGGTGCGCCGTAACTGTCTATCCACCCCCGCTTGAGAGACTGCACGGCGGCCGCAGCGTCACCGGAGGACAGATAGAACACGCGAGCAAACGATGTTGCCGTATCAATGGCAGTGAGCAAGAACACCCGATGTTGCACACCGTCTCGGATCAAAGTCAAATCCAGGGTGTCAATACTCAGAATGCTGTTGAACGAACGCGGTTTAGGGCCTCCGACGACATTATGCGATGGTGGAGGTTTGAGAGCATCGCAAACTGCACAATGAAACCGTGCAGCCTGCTGTAACAGCCATGGTGCAGCCCCCGCGTCGCGTAGATGTTGGATGAATTCGGACTGCCCGGGGTGTGATAATCCAACGTGTAACCTATTCAGACACTCGTGGACCTTTCGGGCATCAGCGAACGAAGGAGGTGCACCCGGAATTGGACGCTCTTGAGGCTGGGATTCCGCAGGAATGTAAGGTTGCGACGGCGTTGGTACATCACCGAAGAAACTGACAACCAAGTTCGCATTGAGTGGTAAGCGAAACTTCTTCTTACTCAGACCAATCTCGCGATTATACTCTACAAAGTACCAAACGCCCCCGCTTCGTACAAGCGTGGTACGGCGAGTCGATACAACACCCACCGGAGGATTTACGAAACATTTGAGGCCTCGGGACGTGACCACCGTGTGAACATCTAACCCAGACCACTTCTGCAGCTGTGTTTGTACCTGCAATGGCAAGTCGAGTTTGCCATAACGACCTGGAAACTGCAGAAGAGTCAGCTGTTTGGACATCTCAGAGTCCGTAACCTTGAACACGGTAGCCGGTTTATTGGCACTGGAGGCTTCTGAAGACACCAATGGTTGAGTCGCCGGTGATGGGGATTGAGACTCGACAGACTGGGATTCCACCGGATACACCCTATGAACAATACCATCTTGACCTACGTAGCATTGTTCCACAGGGTTTGACTGAACGTGCTCATCGTAGTGCAGTGGTGCAAGGAAGCTGGCTTGCTCCACTAGGTCTGGCTTCATCCCCTGAATCAGGGCCTTAGCGAGACCTTGAGAATAATCCTCACACCAGGCGGTAACCGATCTACCCCGAAAACTCCCCACAGCTCGATCATGCTGACAGTCGCAGCTACATCTAAACTGAGACATGTGCTCAGCGAGAGCGCGTGCTGTAGTGAAGAGCGTGGTTGCCTTCCGGATAGGACGATTACTCCTGGGGTGACGAAGTCCGAGAGCGCAACCATCGAATGTCACGAAACCATGTGGCACCTTCAGGTCTACAAACCTCTTGTCCAACCATGCTACAGAAGTTCGAGGGTTTTGTGCATGTGCATGGCGGTGCTCTCGTGACTGCCTTTCAATGATTTTAAACAAAAGGTCCAAGTCCTTCCTGCCCTCCAATCTGTCACGCAGGACCTTCAACCTAGCTCCGGGCTCACGCCGTTCATTAACGCTAGACCATCTACACCAACCCTTGGATGGGAATGATACGTAAACATCCCTGGGCTTACACAGATCGATGAGGGACAGCGTGAACCATTGACCTTCCTTTGATCGCAACTCTTGACCATACATGTACCCCAAGCGAATGGCTTCCGAGCCTTCGCACAACTGTTCATGGGCATCGCTCAAATGACCCCGACCGGCATAGATTTCAATGAGTCCTACGTTTGACCCTCGGTCGATCTTCCATGCTTGAGCGCCCAACCATGTCCTGAGTTGTGCTCTCGTAGCCCGCTTGTTCATATCTAGTGGCCCCGTCGCCTTCCACGCCCTCGGTAGCTGCAGATCAGACTCCATGGGAACCTCAACACCAACCTCGGGCGATAGCCTAGGCCATGATGTACTTAAATAGGCATTCTCTTCCTGCGGCTCGGCGTGAAAAGGTTTGGGGGGCACAACCATACCGGATACACATGCTAGTGCAGCAACACTCGCTCCCAACCATCCGAAAAATCGGGATCGTTGGGAACCCTTTGATATGCTGTGCTGCCGCTCTCTGAACCGCTCATCCCCTGTGGCATCGGCATCCTCGTGGCCGAAGGCGCCGTTGATGGCATCGCCCCCGAGGTCATGGAATCCACACGTGGTGGCCCATGGCTCATCGACGGAGTTCCCGACTGTCCGGCTTGCCGTCTGAGCCAAGCTGCCCTGGCGAGGAGCTCGGCGGCTTGACCTTCCAGTTCCACCGCCTGTTCGATCAACGACCTCTCCATAGGCACATCGGCAGCCGCTGTAGGTTGCACACCATACTCTTGATGCATCATCGTCTTGACTGCATCCAGCACAACCTTGAGATCCGCGGTTGGGGCTGGCATTGGAGCTGAGGATTTCGCACTTGGCATCGGTGTCGATGCCATTGTTGATGATGGTACCTCGGCTCGCAAAGCTTGAACTTGATCGGTTGTCATCGTCACCTTGATCTTCGGCATCACTTCCCCACTGTCCGTGGATCGTGAAATGTTCCACTCCGGTGCCGCCATAGCCGATGGTGGCACTGCCTTCGGGTGAACATCCTGCTTTTGCATCGTGATTTTCCGAACATCGAATGGATATGGGATGCTCTTGCCTTTCGGGAGAGTGGTTTCGGCATCGGCGACGCGGATGAGATCGCCTGTGACCAGTGGAGACATGTGCATAGATACCGTGGGTCCTGGAATCATGGTGCACTCGCAATCCCGACGATGGGTATAAGTCAGCTGTCCGCTGGACCGCACCCACTTCGCCACTCGGCCCCGACAGATCTTGCATTTGCTGCGGCAGATCCCGCAGTGCCAAGTTTGACCGCACCCGTTGGAGAAAGACTCCACCAGGTGGCTGCCCACATGAGCGTATGCCGGTGGTGTGGTTGCCTCCTTGATCACACACTGGCACTCGCTCATCACTCTCACCTTCGTCGCAACTTTGGAACTCTAACTCGTAATCCTGAGCGCTTTGGAGCAAGGGAACATGCACCTCGACATCAGAAGTTTTATGCACATGACGTGCCATCAACACCTGGTCCCCACACGTCGCGAACCCTTGCTCTAAAGCAGACTGCCTAGCATCCCCACGCAGATCACTGTCCTGTGGCTTGGTTGCAAACACAAACGGGAACAATCGGGCATCTGAGGCTTCAATCGCGAGTGGTTCACCGGCGCATTTGGCACACTCTGTCCAATCCTTAAGCACTCTAAAAGTCCTGTCGCCCACGGCGACCACTAATACGCTAGCCTCCCTCAGTAAAGCTGGCGGTGGCCGCCTAATCACTCTCGATCGATAGCCAATTTGAGCCGCCCGTATCTGCCAGGGAATGTCGGCACTTATAAAACCGTGCCTACCGATCACTAGGTGGACCGCTGCAAGCTCTTTTGGGAGTTGAATCCAGGGTCCTTTCGTGTCCTTTGCCAACCGTAGTAAAACGCTCTTGGCTAACTTATCTGATCTCCTGGACAACTCTGCCATCTGGGGCTGGTAAGTTAGAACAGCCGAGGGGTCCGGAGGATGAAAGTTTGCCCTATGGGTTTGTTGCACTGAACCGGGCCTTGAATCAGCCTCTTGCTGAGTTTCATCCTCGGGCCCATCGAACTTAGCCTCGGTTGCAGCGGACAGGCCCTGCTCAAAGCCAGGAGGCGGGCTTGGCCGATTGTGGAAGTCAAAGAGTGGCAAAAGATAATGCCCTACCGAGTTCACGGACAGCTTGATCCGACCAATCCCCGGTATCTCTAAAAGATCCGCCTCACAATCAAGCTTAGCCCGCATCTGCCGAAGGGCCTGAATGGACAACAGAAATGGGGCTTTACCGGGAATCACGGAAGCCTGAACAAAACCGTCGCGGCCACCGATCCTCACGGGATACTTCACCTGACACGTGGCCCGTGCTTCCCCGTTAATGCCCTCAAACTTCACATCTGATGGCCCTCGCTCGGCCTTTAAACTTCCTCCAGACTGTTTCTGCAACTCTTCATTCCAACGTCTCTCACTCTCAGAGCCGACCAACGTAGAGGTGCAACCCGTATCTACGATAGCATGGCCTGGAGGAACTGCCAAACAGACATGTTCTACACATGGCGCTCCGGTTTCCAAACCTGGCGGCCTGATCGGCGCCTCGGCTTCTAAACCTAGCCGCCTATCCCACATGAGGCAACGCTCCACCTCCAATTCTGAAATGCCGTGTGAGGGACGTGGGAATGCCATGAAGCTGAACTCTGGCTTGAACTCCGTCGGCAAGGCACCGCTGGGAGGAGCACTCGATGAGGAAGGAGCCTGAGCCGCCCAGCCCAGGTATTGTGCACCGTTGGGATCTCCTCTGCGACCTCCGTGACTCCTCTTGCCAGCTCCCTTGGGTTTTCGTCCTTGCCCCTTGGGTTTCCTCCCAGTGTTGCCCTTGCCTCTCGAATGGCTCTGGGACCTAGAAGCCGAAGATGAAGCATGACCCGATCGCCATTGGAAATCACCGCGGCCCGAACGACCCTCACGCAGGGGACGACTTCGCATGTCCCGTCCCCTGCCACTCTTACCCGAGCCGCCCTTGCCGACAGAAGCCTCCGCGGGGTCCTTGAATCCACGGGCCTTCCTGAGGCCCATTAGCTTCTTGCGGGCCTCCAAGTACCCAATCATAGCCGTGTTGTATTCTTCGTCCGCGTCGTCGTCGATGTGATCGTCGTCATCAGCGAATTCTTCCTCCTCGTCCTCGGCATAGCCTTCGAACTCTTCATCCTCGTCGAAGTCTTCATCGTAGTCCTCGTCTTGCTCATCGCCAAACTCATCTGCGTCGTAGTCGGCGAAATAGCTGTGGTTCGAAACCTTGGTTCCGCGGGAAGCGACAAGGGCATCCAACTCTGTTCGACGAAGTAGCTCGGAGACCTTGTCGTAACGAAGCGAACCGCCTGCTGATCGGAGTAAGCTTGCTCTTGTTTGAAGGGTGATGCCCACATGGCGCAGATAAAGGAAACCCTTCATCACCTCCGGCATCCGAAACGGAACCACTGGAGCCTGTTCAACAGGAGGCGTCGGAGGAATTGGAGCTGGAGGAGCATCTTGTCCATCACCGAGTGCCGCCAGTGCAGCTTGATGTGCTTGTTGCGCCACAATGAAATCTAAACTCTGGCGTCTGTACTCGGCTCGAATCATATCATAGTGACGCCTTCTCTCCAACTTCAATTCCTCAGTCATAAGTTCCTCTGCCTTAGCCACTGTGGTTTCGAAACGGGTTGTGAAGGCAGTAGTCTCCTCGCCCTGCTGCCGACGCAGCTTGTAAAGCAAGGTTTCAAGCCACTCTGACAACTCTTGTTCGGATGTGTACTGATAGCGGGCATCAAGGATATCTAACATGGCCTTCACGCCACCTGTATTTCGGAAGTCTCCGGGATCTTTCTCGCGGAAACATTCAACCGCCGAACCAGAAAGAACCGAAATCAGTCGTGGAGCGGCCAAGCTCTGTTTTGAATCCTCGAGGCCGTGATAGTAAAGGAGGGCTCGTCGACGATAGTCTCTGTACGATTCGAGACGGCCGTCAAAGGTGGGAATCTTCTTATCATCGTCCTTGGTCTCCATGGCCTCGAAGCTGTCGTTGACGAAACGGAACTGATACGCTGCGCCCTGGATCAAAAGGCTAACACAGAAGAGCACCAAGCTCCGCTGCCATGTTGACAGCAGCAGCGTCGTTCCTTCTATCAAGCTCAACAGCCTGATCATGACACTATGTAGGAGTGCCACCTCAATGAAAGCTCTACTGGACATCCAGTCAGAATGAACATAACGCATGTCTGCAATGCATAAGACTAGGCTTCTTTTCCGTGCCTCGAACTGGCTTCATGCATGCTTGAGCCACCGATGGTGGCGATGATGAACATGTGCCCTGAGGCTCCACGACACACACAACAGGCACAGCATGATCTGTTCTTCAATTCACAGAGGTCGTTGCTCTCCGGAAAAATCTGTTGAGGGCTTGCGGTTGAGATTTGATTTCGGGCTCGAGCCTAGACCCTAAACCCTTAAGTGTGTAGGACCTTTATGTACAGTGTGTGGATTGTGTTTGGGGCCTTTACCAGTTACTCGGACGCAGGAAAGCAGTGCAAAGGCCAGCCTCTGAGCCACAAAACCGCAAAAAACCGTGAAAAACCGTGAAAAACCGTAGAAAGCTTTACGGTTTATACGGTTTATACGGTTTATACGGTTTTTTACGGTTTTTTACGGTTTT